ACTAGCGTTCATTAGTATGGTAGGGTACGCCGGAAGCTGGTTCCGATTCCTTTGCGGGAGAATCCCAGAACTTTCTTGAGGGTTGAAGCGAGCTGTGGGAATTCGATTTGGAGGAGGAACGCGGGGATGTGTATGAGAAACTATCGGCGATCAAGCGACAGGAGCAGTGGAAGACTATATCAGGGATTCCGAGGTGCGAGTGGTCAGACACTCAATTCCGGAGGAGCAAATCCTTGGATACTTTATGGCGGACTCAGGGAGAGGTTGGGGCGACCACGTGAGGCCCGCATGAAATCCCCCAGATCTCATGACGACGAATCGGATCGCGAGGGACGTAGAAAAATTGTGTAGCAACACCGTTTAAAGACGGGAAGGAGGATCGGGTTTCCAAAATTCAGAATTCGTGGGGACGATCTACGAGCGTCGTCACCCGAGTTGATCCAGCGAGGGACTCGCAGAATCGAGGAGGGGGGAGGGCTGTTGAAAGTGTCGGGTCTGTGAGGAGAGAGACGACCCCAGGAAGCGGTGCCGCCAGAACCACTGACGAAGGAAAAGAACTGGGTCCGCGTAACTTGCCGAATTCGGAGTACTTGAAAAGGAGGGAGGGAAAATGTTTCCGATGCGGAGGTCCGTTCAGCCCGGGCCTTCGATGCCCAGAACGAGGACTTCGAATGTTGATTATGGTGGATGAAGAGGAGGAAGGAGGCGAAACGGAGACAGAAGTGGATATCGTCGGGATGGAATTATCGGCCCTGTCGGCGGGGGGCCTGACTACTTCCAGAACGATGAAATTAAAGGGGCGAATAGGAGAAAGAGAGGTGCTTGTTCTGATTGACAGTGGCTCTAGCACAACTTTCTTAGCCGATGTTTGGTGGGGAACTGGGTATGGCAGTAAGGGAGACCCAACCTTATTTCGTCAGTTTGGGGGACGGTCAGAAGAAAAAGATTAGCGGGTGTTGTCAGCAAGTAGTTTTGGAGCTGGGGGGCACCGAAATTGTAGAACAATTTTACCTTTTTGAGCTTGGGGGAGTGGAAATAATACTAGGCATTGAATTGGTTGAAGAAGCTGGGGGAAGTGACTGTAGATTGGGGAAAACTTACGATGGTATATCGGCAAGGAGATAAGAAGATAACTGTGAGAGGGGATCCCAAGTTGGAACGAAAGGTGGTGGGACCCAAGGCTTTATTAAAAATAAACAATGCAGAAGCTTGGATGATGGTCTGGGAATTGGGCTCCATTGAGGCCCATAATAGCGGCCAGAAGTATGTGGGCCTTACAGAAGAGCAGAAGGATGAAATGGAGCGGCTTCTAGACCAATATGACATGGTGTTTGCTGAGCCCACCAACTTGCCACCTAACAGAGGCATGCAACATCGAATAACACTTAAAGAAGGAAGTGACCCCAGTCAACGTCAGACCCTATCGGTACCCGCACGTGATGAAGACCGAGATAGAGCAGCAGATCGCCGAGATGCTCCAGACGGGGGTGGTCCGACCAAGTCACAGTCCGTATTCGAGTCCGGTAATTCTGGTGAAGAAAAAGACGTCAGCTGGCGTTTTTGTATAGACTATCGTGCCCTCAACCGCGCGACTGTGCGACAATTTTCCCATTCCCGTCATCGAGGAGTTGCTGGACGAACATGAAAGAGGGACTTTCTTTCTCAAAAATCTCGATTTGAAGGTCGGATATATCATCAAATAACGCATGCACGAGGAGGACATTGAGAGACGGGCTTTTTCGAACACACAGGGGCACTTACAAATTCGCAGTAATGCCATTCGACTCACCAACGCGCCGGCGACGTTTCAGAGCGAATGAACAGTCTTCTCCGTCCGCCCTATTTGGGCGAAAGTATGTCTTGTGTTCTTCGATGACATACTCATTTTACAGGCTGTACTTGGAAGGAACATCTTGATCATGTAGCGAGTGTCTGTCGACGTTGAAGCGAAACGATGGTGCTAACCGGAGGAAGAGCGAATTCGGGCAAACCCAAGTTAAATATTTGGGGGCATGCATTTCCAGCAGGGGCGTGGAAATTGACACGATCATAAAGCCATAGTGGATGGGAAGAACCAAGAACACAGTGAAGAGCTTGAGAGGGTTCTTGGGGTTTGACTGGGGTACTTTACCCTCTACCCGGCCGATTGTCCGCAGACTACGGAAAATTCGCCAGCCTCTTGACAGAGCTGCTAAAGAAAGGTGGGTTTACTTGGAACGAGAGCCAAGAGGGAGGCTTGGAAGTCGTAAAGAAGGCGATGACGACAGCACCCGTGCTGTCCACTGCCCGATTTTTAAGCAAAAAACATTTCCACATCGAATGTGGATGCTTCCGGCCGAGGAGTGGGGGCTGTTTGATGCAGGAGAGGAGGCCCCTAGCTTATTTTAGCAAGGCGATATCCAAGGGGAAGTTGAGCAAGTCATATTACGAGAAGGAATTAATGGCTCTAGTAATTGGCCATAAACATTGGCGGCCTTACCCCACCTCGTCGGGCAGAAATTCATCGTTCATACCGATCAAAAAGCCTCCTACATTGCTGAGAAACGATTACCACCCACAAATCAAACAGGACTTGGATCGCAAAGCTGTTGGGATAACGACTTCCATATAGTTTACAAAATCAGGGGCTGCAAAAAGCTGCAGATTCCCTGTCTATAAAATATGAGGGGGAAGAGGATGCGAAAAAGAACTGGCGTGTTGGCCCGACCCTTCTTGCCGGATTTTGAGGAGGTGGTGCCGAGAAGTAAGAAACTTATGACTGCTTACAGGAGTATGAATATCTAAAAGTGGCCCTAATACCCACCCAGCGTATACCCTAGAACATGAAAGACTACACCATAAGGGACGATTGGTGCTGTCGGCCCAATCAAAATGGATTCCCAAATTGATTGCCGAATTTCATGTTACACAGACAGGAGGCCATTCAGGAGTTTTACCGACTTACAGGCGCATAAGCCCCCAGTCCCTGTAATTGGGTTGGAATGAAAGAAAGAAGTGACGGAGTTTGTAGCCAGGTGCGTTGTTGTCAACAACATAAATACCTCTCTTCTTCTCCTCAAAGGGCTTTAACACAAGACCATTGCCATTCCGAATGCTGTTTGGATAATGGAGCATGGACTTTATCTGTGAGGCCTAGCCGAAGTCACAGGGTACGATGCGATATTGGTTGGTTTTGGACCGTTTGAGAATAACGCTCATTTTCCTTTCCACTTAAACATCCTTACACAAGCCCGACAGTAGCGGAATTTTTTCATTCCTTTCATTCATCCGGGAATGTCGGGTTACATGGTGTACCTCAGTCCATCGTTAGGATCGGGAGCCAATATTTTCTTAGCAACTTTTGAGGGAATTATTCAAAGGCAGGGGACGGCAACTCAAATGAGTATTGCGTATCTCCCTAAACCGATGGGCAGACAGAGGTGGTGAATCGGGTGTTGGAGGGATACTTCGGTGCTTTGCTCTGAGCACCACAGGGTGGATGGTCGTTTTAATAACCGTGGGGCGGAGTACTGGTATCATACCACTTTAGGGGGCTATAAGGTGCACTCCGTTTGAAGCATTTTATGGGAGACCACCCCTGTCTCTGCATCGATTTATTCCCGGGTGATACTTTGGTAAAGCATTGAAGCCAGGAGCTTCAAACCCGTGATGAAGCGTTTAGACAATTGCGTTTTCATTTTGGAGAGGGCCCAAGAAATAATGGTGCGACAGGCCAAAACAAGAGGCGAAGACCATCAAATGTTGAGTGGGAGATTGGGTTTTTCTGAAGATAATACCCATATCACTCTTCAATGCCAACCAAACTTCATTAAAAGTTGGCAGCCAGGTATTTCGGTCCTTTTCAAATAATCCAGAAGGTGGGGGAGGCAGCATACAAGCTGCAGCTTCCAGAGACAGCTAGAATACACCCCGTCTTCCACGTTTCCCAGTTAAAGAAAGTTGTAGGCACGCAAGGGGTGGAGAAGGAGTTGCCGCAGGAGCTACAGTAGAAGGGCATCGGTCTGGCATTGAACTGTTGGGAATCGGCATGCTACACAAGAGATGGTTGGAAGTGCCACATTGCCTAAAGAGTGGCAAAGTCTGAGGCTCAGACGGTTCACCCCTGGGAATAGAAGCACGATCATGGAACAATACCCTGATTTCCAACCGTGGGGACAAGGTTGTAACTTCCAGAGGCCGGTATTGATAACCTAAGGTAAACAGGGGTGGATTGTTATGAAAGAGAAATAGGAAGGCCAGTTAGAGGGGTTCGGTCAGTTAAGGGAGCTGAGAGGTAAATTTGGTATAAAATAGGAGTGGGGTAAGTTTGGGATGTGGAGATTATTGTTTTGACAGTTAGTTGGTTTAACAGGTTAAGTCCTGTGAAGAGGGTTTAAGCTTTTTGTTCTATTCACTTCTGTGTGAATCCGATACGATACCATTCTTTTTCTCTTCTGCGTTTCTCTGTTGTTTGTGTGAGAAGAGTTCTTGATTAGGTTTCCAAATCAGAAACCTAACAACAGCTCTCAATGATCAAAGGCACTAATTCTCCCAAAATTTCGACAGAGATCTCTCACCACCTCCCTTCTTGTTTATTGGCGACACTGCTTCATTTCTTATGCCAACAATCTTAACTAGTGTAACTAAGTAGTGGGTATCTATCACATTCTCATTTAGTTGGAGGCAAATAAGAGCACATTCACATTCTTATAAATGATAGTACAATTAACATGACCTATTTTAGCCTTCATATAAAATGCATAATTGCACATAAACCAGACCTCTACAATTCTATATGTATTTTTGAAATGTAAATTGAGTTACCTCTTATTTGTGTTTTGGTTTTCTGATTTTCTTTCCCATGTCCATCCAGCACTTTTCTCAATGTCGGTGTCCCATCCACATGGAATTTTCCAGACAGCTTCGTCTTTATCTCATTAGCAAGAACAGCGGCAGGATTTTCTACAGCAATGACAATAACTTCAGGCCGCTTGCCACTGTACTTCCTCACCATTTTTTTCTCACACCTCAATACAATTCTTTCCATATGAGCCAGGGACAGCTTGCAGGGCAGTTAAAGGGCCGCATGAGCAGCTTTTATGGAGTGCATCCAACAGCTTACCCTTGTCAAGCCACAGGCATCTTGTGGTAATTCTTATTTTTCCTTTTAAGGTGTTCTCAACTGGACTGTCTAAATTTTGTGGGCGAAATATTTCCATGCTGTAAAAAGATGAATATTAGCATGATATTAAACAAGATATACTTGGCTTAGACTTAATTCAGGACATTAAACATTACCTAACAACTATGATGCCATCTAATGCAATTCTCATTCTTTCATCAATAAAGAGTTCACTTGATGTACCAAATGCTTTCTCACCATCACTATACATCAACTGCATGAAAAAGTGGGAGGGAATGTCAGAATTATAAATTTCTAAAAACGAGACACCAGAATCTTTGGGAGCCACCAACCTGGAAATTCTCTTTTCCAAGTGAGGTGAAACCATTGGAAAGGACTCTTTTGTTTCTCAAATGAGAAACACCAAGCATCTCTCCATTCTTAATAACCTGGTGCATAAATCTCATCAGTTGATTCAGCAGTTTATGAAACAACTCATATGCAATGCCTATCTAAAACAAGTTATAGGCCACTGGTAGCTCGTGTATCACAAAGAACACAAACAAAGGCAACCACTCACAGTAGTGGTGCCGAATGCCAGTTGATTTTCCAAGTAATTCATGTTCCTTCAAGAACAAGAGTTCTCCATGTATGGGTAAAAAATGCTGTGGCTTCACAATTCTAAGCACTTCCTCCTGCAGAAATATATGCCATCTTCAGTAATATGCCAAATCATAGACAAACCATACAGGGTGACAGGAATTCATATCAAAAGGACAAATCTTATATATAATTAACTAAAAATGTGTCATGACAAAGTAACTAGTTTGCAAGTTTTGATTATCCATGTGACATTCTGTTAAAACAGAGTCGAGAAATGATAAAAACGATAGAACAATGTAAAAGACTACGGGTCGATGTAATTTAAAAATTTGGGATATTCTTCATTTTTTAAATTTTTTGTACAAAACAATTATTTAGTGATGTTGAATAATGCAATAAAAATGTTACCAATTCTCCACGATACCCATGGCCAGATGTGTGCAGACATTCATTCTTCCCCATAATTATAGTTGATCCAATATCTGATATGCGGTTTAGCATTTCCATAACACGAGACTCGTTGCCAGGGATAACCTAATAGTGATATAAAAAGCAAAGGACAGATTAATAACACATTACTTTAAGATAGAAATCTTCATAATTATATTTATGATTCACGCAGGGGAAAAAACTCAAACTTGTTACAAGAATGAATCAAAATTTAAAAGTAGAAACAGTAAATTGTAAGTTCATATAATGTGTTGGTTAATTAGCAGATAATTTTTTTTTCTTTGCCACCTTCCTCCTAAGATAGGTTTAAAAAATAGTTGTTATTTATCAGAATTTAAGTGTTCATAAACAAGCTTATTTAATGCTGGACGTGCTTTACACAAATCAAAATGTAAAATACCTAGTGCGGGTGTCATACCTTGGCTGAATACAACACAATATCCTNATATATATATATATATATATATATATATATATAATCAAGATATCTTCTAAAAAAAAGTTTTCAAATCCCTCTACATTTGTTCATAACAAAGACTTCAAAAGTATATCACAAATATATAGAAGGAAACCAATTAAAAGTTAAAAAAATAATAAGTAACTCGAAAAGACTATGAATATAGAATTGATAATCTAGTAAAGGATAATGAAAAGCTTGAAAACGATCTTGAAATTGCTCTAAAATCTGCAAAGACAGTTAAGACCGAAATATAAATTGTTGAGAAAGAATGTGATAATTGTCCTGTACACATTGAGAAAATGGATTACTTAACCAGCACATTAGCAAAATTTACACAAGGAAAAGAAAATCTTGATGTTGTGTTAAGATCATCTGGAAGAGCTATTAATAGGCAAGGTATTGGCTATAAAGAAAAGAGTAGTAGGATTAATTCAAAGAAGTTTATTGATCTCAGTAAGCCTATTACAAATGCTTATTTTATTGCAATACTATTGGCCATAATGTTAGAAATTGCTACTACAGAAAGGTTGGAGTTCCAAAGGGAAAATTCAAATGGATTCCTAAGGAACTGTCTCATGTAACTGACAAGTTAGGACCCAAGTTCAAATGGGTACTAATGTCAAAAACGTTTAATTGTTTTGCAGGAAAGTACCTGCAACTGAAGTAGTACAGTGCTCAAGGATGAACTACAAATGAAAAAAAATCACAAGTTATTGAGTCAATGATTATGGTAACTGGAACAAATTTCTTATGCATCATGCAACATAAGCATTTGTATGATTGTCTGTTATATGCATGTTTGCTGTGAGTTCTGTTTGATTGACTGAATTCTGTGGAAATATAGTTGCGCGATTTTTAGTCGATTATGCTATGAACTAAGTCGATTATAATATGTGAATGTGTTTCTCTGTTTTTGGTAACACTCTGTAATACATGAGTTGACTTTGTCGTTAATGAAACCGATTAATAATCCTTGTTTTTGGAATTTTCTAGTTTGAAAAACTTAAGTGGGCCTGATTGTATGTGATGGTTCCCTTATAAAAGTTTATGTACTTTAAAAAATGTCTCAAAACTGTGACGCTCAAAACTCTTATCTGGATCAAGAAGTCTCTACAATTTCTTGATCTACCATGGCTGCTTCATCTTCACGTCCAAGGAAGCGTCCTGCATCTTTAATCAGAGAAGCAAACCCTTTTGGTTGGTTTAGTGATGACGATAAAAGAACCGACTTCATCTATCAGTGGGGATTCAAAGAAGTGATCAGACATAAGCAGCTAAACATTGTGTTCTTTCGCTCAGAAGAATTCTTGTTTCAAGAATGGCTAGTTAAGTCTAGTCTAACAAAGTTTCTTGAACTCCAAGGTGATTGTTATCCTACTCTTGTGAAAGTATTTTATGCAAACTTAAAAAGGGAAAGGAACTATTTGATTTCTAGAGTAAAGGGTGTGATAGTTCGTATTGATGATTCCATATGGAAATATATTGTTGGATTCCAACCTGGAGGACTGAAAACACATCATGGTGTTCCGGGGCTCAATAAAGTTGACATTTATAACAATTTTTTGAAGGATTTGAATATGATAAGGAAATATGACTCCTTCAGTACTGATCATCTAACCAAAGAAGAAAGAATGTGTGCATATGTGATCACATGGATTTTACTTCCTACAAGTGAAGGTCAGTCATTGCTGAATGTAGAAGATGTATATCTACTATATGCACTACAAACAAATATTCATTTACCATATGTTGTCTTCATTAGCAGAATTTTGAGATTACAAAATGTGGATATCACAAATGAGATCACCATTTGTGATAACAAAAAGAAAGTTATTGAAAAATTATTCTTGGAACACTCGGGGCTTAGAAAAAGAAAAGAAGGCTGGATTTTCAAGGACAAAGTTTGCCCTGAAACTAATAAGGTTAGATACTATCAATATTGACATGTCAAAATATGAGTTCAGACCTCAAACAAAATTTGGGGAGTTTGTAGAAGTAAGATTTAAAATACTTGATGAGAAAATGTCAATGCTTCAAAAATCCTTTACTGAGCTGCAAAAGAAGATGGATTATGCATTAAGGATAAATGCATTTGGTGACACCTATGTAGATGATTCTGAAAGCAAGAAGAACAGTGTAGATGAGAAGATTGTAGAGCCATCTGAAACAGAATAAGGATTTTGTGGTTACAGTTTAGAGCTTTATGTTTTTCTATTTTGTTTTGATTGTTTTCTGTTTTGTTTGTATTTTTGGATTTATATGCCAATTCTGGTTTGGTTTGATCTAATTGTACTTCTCGATTAAATATCAATGAAATCAGAGTTTATGGTTAGCTCAATCTGTTAATGAAAAATTATATTTGTGATTGAGTAAAACAAATAGTACTTAAATCAATTACACAATGATTGTATCCAAATGAAGTATAATTTACTGTTACATTCATACATTTGCATACTCATATAGTATCTGTGATAATTCCTGCACTATTAATTCTAAAAGGCTTGATCTAGAAAGGTCATGAAAGGTTTTGCAGGAACATCAATTGCTGACAGATATGATATGGAAAATCAACTTACAGAAAGCAAGAAATAGATTACGATTGAGATCAAATCGATTGAATACCAACAGGGGTTAAAGATCCCAAACTTTGGGATATATGTTATCTTTAAACCTTGCTTTATAATCTGTGAATGTTTATTCTGCTTATATCTTAGTGCTTATCTGTTGTATCTTTGCTTTATGATGATAAGAGAATAAACTATGTTTAATGATTGAAATTGTATCAATTATGATCTGTTATTACTGTTTCACATTTACTCTGATACAATGCTTTTACATGCTTTTACATGCTCTGATATATAATCTGATTACTGCATTGTGCATATGTGTTTTCAGATTGAAATATGCATAATGACAGGGGATCATTACATATCATTGATCTATTTCGCATGTATTCATTTCAGGGGGAGAAAATCCTAAATCATGTGAATAGTATTGTCAAGGGGAGCATCATAATCTGTTTTTATATATCTGATGCATCTCTATGTTACTGATTATCTGTATATCAATTACTGTTTGCTTACCTTTTTTCTAATGCCCAAAGGGGGAGAATTATGATGATTGGTAATTGGTTGATAATCTATATTGATTTGTGCAACATGGTTGTTTATTAATCATGGTTGTGCATCATCAAAAAAGGGGGAGATTGTTGATAGGGGGAGCAAACGTTTAACTTAATCCACAATCTCAGTAATATATGAGTTTTTGATGATGACAACACATAATTAATAACACATGTATATTTAGTGTTACATTTTCCATATTTACATGTTATATGCTTTTGATCATTGTGTTAAATCTGTTTAAGCATATATGGGAGCATGTTTGTTTGTGGTTTTCATTGCATTTCACTGTGTTACATATGTGTTTTTATACGTGAATGCATGGCACATGATGTTGAAAAGGAAACCCACAAGCACTTATGTTAAACTTTAAATGTGTGGCAAAACAACAGTTTTAAGTCGACTCCATTATGGGGTGAACCGATTAAAACTCATGTTTTTGTACAAACCTTTTTCAAGTGTGCTGTGAGAGTTTTCAAAGAGAAAGTTTTTCAAAACTATGCTTAACATTGTTGAATAATCGATTTCATGTGTGTTGTATTCGATTAAGTTAGTTATTGTTTTGAAATTCTCTTAATGCTTGACATAAATGTCTAACGGTCATATTTTTAAATGTGTTGACCAAGCATTAAATGTTAGTCGACTGCATTAATTGTGCATTCAATTAATTGCTAACTATTATAACAAAATTGTTATATTCGAATGCATTAGTAGCTAAGTCGATTAAAACATGTCTGAGATGAGTTATTCTATAAATTGACGCAAATTTGATTTTTGTACGAACTTTTTGTAATTCTAACATTTTCATATCTTTTGCAGAAAGATGTGATCTTACAAAAAGTAAAGAGAAGCTCCAAGAAACAAGAGTGATCGTGGTGATCATCTACTTGTGATTTCTTGAAGAGCAAGATTGATGTGTTTTTCAAAGGCTGATCAACTTGCACATTTGGGTGTTATTGAGAGATCAAAATCTACAATCTTTTGAAGATTGGTTTGAAGTTCCCTGTTGTGATTACAAGAAGAAGAGAGTGTGGCATTCTTGACTTTGAGAGTGTCTCAAAGGGTTTAGACAGCAGAAGAGGGAATTCTTTTTGTTGGTCTTGTTGTGTACTACCTATATTTTGATTAAAGGGTTAGAGAGGTGTTTTATATTTTTGAAGTGAGGTTGCTATAAAAGTCTTGTTGTAAATACCTTGATCATTATAGTGCATTGGCTTCCTGTGGTTGGAAGGACACTGGATGTAGGCTTGTCGAACCAGTATAAAAACACAGTGTTTGAATTTTCTCATCCCTACTGTCTTTATTCACTCGATTATGTTCTATATTCATTCGATTAAATTTCCACTGCATTATAAATCTTTTACCTTATGATTCAAGAAAAGTATCAAGGCATCATTTTTGTGAAAAAGATTTTATTTTTACATTTCATCAATTCACCCCCCCCCCCCTCTTGGTTTGAGAAATTGAGTCATTCTATTTTAATAATTTATTTGTAACAACGTCGAAGTTATGGATCCAAGGCTAATGCAAAAGTAAAATTTCTTTTTTGTATTTAAAGTTGTAACAATCTTGGGTTTAGCATATGAAATATTGTAGAATTCTCATTGTTCTTGTGTGTGTAAAAATCCACAACAAATGTGACTGGAGTTAGTGTTAGGATCCAAACAAAATCTCACATTGGATAAAACATGAGATGGATATGCGTTTATATACACATAAGATACCTCCTTTGGTAAGAGGCCTTTTGGAGTGGTACCAAAGGTAAATCCGTGAGGGTTTGGCCCAAAGCGGACAATACTTACCATTGTGGAGATCTATGTGTGTTTTCCCTCCCTATAGTTAGCCCTGTAACTAACTAAGTTCAA